ATAGGGTATGGAAAAAGTTTGCATTGTTTTAAATTTTTCTGTTAAGTTTTTAACTAAATTTTGTACCAAAACTAATATAATTCAATGTGTGCTAAAAATCTCTAGTATTTTAAAGATAATAGAACACCTTTATAACCCTTGTGATCTATGTAACATCCCGATAATTACAATGAAATGGACATGATCAAGGATCGGTAAATCAAAGAAGTTCTGGAATATATATATATATTATATATATATATTTATAACTCAGTGAAGTAATGTTTATAATATAATTAACTTTAAAACATAGTTAAAACCATATTTTGTTTGCTGCTCAGTAAGGAAAATCCATTGTCTCTGTAGATATCGAAACTTGAAATTGATGTATCATAGAACATTACTTGGTTTATAAATAAGTGACAACTCTTTCAACTTCAACTAGTTACTTACAAGTGCTAAGCCGCAAGATGCTCAAGTGTAGGTCCTTGGAGCCCCTAGGATATGTGAAGCAGGAGCAACAAGGACACCAACAAAGCGGCCACCAGCAATACCAACCACAGTGTGGACAATTTCCAGTTGAAGGCACAAAAGCAGGGACACACAGGGACACCGTCCCCCCTTTTGCATCCTGCTGGACCTTGGGGTCCTGTTTGTTGTTCGCCATCCCGTATCTTGTATCTGGTATCTGCCCTCGGTGTCCTGCTTCTCTGCTAAAATAATCGCCACAATAATCTGTCAACGACAGCTGCTGATGTCATAAAAACCTTTTGAAGATGTCGTTGCCGGAGTCCTTGTTAGGACACACAAACACAAACAGGAGCACACACACACTGGAGCAGGCTAATGATAATTTGCCACAATTTACACTCCGAGCAGCCACAGCAACAGGACCTCCTCGTCCTGCTGCCAAAATAGCTACGATAAAATCATTGATGAAGCCAAAAGCTAATTGAATGTTAATCGCTTGCCATTGACATTGCATTGGCGGGAAAAGGCAGGTCGCAGGGTGGGAAATTTCCCGGTAAACCCATCGGAAAATGGGCAAAAAGAGGGACAGAAAACTCAGAAACAACCCCCCAAAACTTTGATCCGATAAAGCTCAAAGGTAAGCGCTCGATTTGCATAAAGTAATGATAAATCAACAGCCAACGACGACCTTCAAGATGCGTTATTTGCACTTGGTTGTTTCGCAGCAAATAGAATACAAGCAGTCTTTAAATTAAAAATTAAATTTTAATCAACCCCAAGATGTGTATCAGTGGGGTGGAAAAGCGAAGAAAAGCGCTTTTCTTTTTCTTTGTCTGCTTCTATGACATATCGCGATGGCAAGTCTGCCTTCTTTTTTATACCCTTGTAGGGTATTATAATTTCAGTCAGAAGTTTGCAACGCAGTGAAGGAGGCACCTCCGACTATATAAAGTATATATATTCTTGATCAGGATCAACAGCCGAGTCGATCTAGCCATGTCCGTCTGTCCGTCTGTCCGTCTGTCCTTCTGTCCGTCTGTCCGTCTGTCCGTCTGTCCGTCTGTCCGTTTCTACGCAAACTAGTCTCTCAGTTTTGAAGCTATCTGAATGAAACTTTGTAGTTAGCCTTCTATATACTCTCACTCGTATATATGTCGGAACGGGCCGGATCGGACGACTATATCATATAGCTGCCATAGGAATGATCGTAAAATTTTTACAAAAAAATTTTTAACTTTTTCAGTTTTCAATAGAATTGGATCAATTTTAAGATATAGCCATTTTACTATACTCTACAATTTTGTGTAAAATTTTATGAAAATCGGACTAATATATCATATAGCTCCCATAGGAACGATCGAGAAATTAATACAATTAAATTTATAACTTTTTCAGTTTTCAACTGATTTTCATCAAATTTAAGGTATAGCTATTTTATATTAATCTTAAATTTTGTGGTAAATTTTATGAAAATCGGACGACTATATCTTATAGGTGCCATACAAACGATCGTTTGATGTAGAGGAAAAATGCAAATCTGTGTATGTAAAACTGCAAATATAATATATATAGGTGAATGAAATGAAAGCAGCTATTACTTCATTGTTTTTTAACACAAATATATATAATTTATATTGTATGGATTCCTATTCATAGAAGTTCTATCTGCAAGGGTATATAAACTTCGGCGTGCCGAAGTTAGCTTTCTCTCTTGTTTCTTCTACTTCTGGGCGAGTTGGTCTGGTTTTAGGTTTATGGCATCAACTTTAAGGGAATTCATAGAAAGTGGTTTGAATTTAAATGTATAGTTATATTTTAAAATATTTTAAAAACAATACCAAAACCCACAAACATTTTCCACCTTACAAAACAGCTCAGCTATAATAGAAAAACGAATCAAAATAAGTGTAAAAGCCAGGCCTCAAATCCATATTTCCCACTCTCCAAAGGCATATAAATATACTGACCTAGTAAATAATAAAAAACAGAATAAGAGTACTTTTTTACAAAAATGTAAAGACTATCAACACATTGCTAACGTTCACACTCTCAAGAACGAAACATGGAAAACAGTTGGTCGCAAAACAAGGATGCTAAATTTGCATTTTGTGCTGGCGAAAATGTTTCAATTGCATTTCGTTCAAATGGCAACTGCCTTTGACAGGACTCACATTAAATGCAGGAACCGAATCCGAACAGCATCCACGGAACGGCCCTTTTGTGGTTCCGTGGAGTCAAAGTTGCAATAGAAATACTGGACCAAAGGCACCATCAAATGCAAATGCAAATGCAAACAGACAGCAAACGGACACAACAGCCGCAGCAGATGCATCAATTGTCTAATTGTTTGCCGAGACAGAGTCGTCATAATGTCTATCAAGCAGAGGGGAAGGAGCCAGGATACAGAGTGTCCTTGTTGCAGATGCACAGAGAAATAAGTATAATATAATTCTGAACTCGAAAATGAAAATGGAAAATGAAAATGGAATGGAATGTTCTGCATTAAAGTCATTATACGAATTCCTTTAAGTAAGCTTGAAGTATGTTATAGAAGGTTGGTTATAAGGTTGTGAAATATATACATCGAATTTAAAAAAAATATAGATATTCTTATTTATACCGATGTTTCCTTAAACAATAAGACATAACAAGAAAATCTTCTGGCAGCATACATTATATAAATATTTCCAAGTCATGACCTATTTGTTTTCTAAAAAGCTAAAGAAAGCAAAACAATCTAATCTATTTTCTCAGTGCATCTATAGAAAACTGTGTCTGTGACGGCGTCTGGAGTGTCATAGCCGGGTTGGACCCGTGGGATAGGTAAATTTGATTTATGACCTATTATGCGTCTTATGTCCAGCCATAATTTAATTATACGAGGACACACGCCCAGACGGAATACCAAACCCATATTGTCTGCAGTTTTTCCGAGTCACATGCACAATCTGCCACACATAATGCTCTTATTTAAATCATGGAAATTCGCTTACCTAAATTGCATTGCAACAATTGCCAGGACGACCCCTTGGTCCCTTTTGCCAGCCCAATGTGTGTGTCTCTCTGTCGCTTTATGGCAAAAACCGAAAGCGGCAATCTCAAGCCCAAAATGTAAATGTAATTAAAGTGCAGTTAGGCTGATGGGGGTGTGGGGAGTGTGCGTGGCATGCGAAATGAAATTGAAATAAATTATTGACTAATTGTCAACTCAGACGAGAACAATCTGGCACATTTTGGCATGTGGCACGGGGCGTATGCGCAATCAAATAGCGAATATCAAGTCGCAAATCAAAACCAAAGCCAAGAACAAGAAATGCAGCTAATTTGCGAAGCTAAAAATTCCAAGACAGGGAGAGCACCCCAATACCCCTGCTTTTTAGACACGTTTTCATTTAATTTAATTGTTATTGTCTGGCCTGTCACTTTGGTCTAGAGGGAATGGAGGTGCTCCATTGCATGTCTAATTAGTGTCATCTTAAAAATGCCATCGAATTGGAAATGCCACTCGATTGAAGAGCTTTAATCTTTAATCTAACTGAGAATATAACTTAATTTTGCCATTTTAAATTGATTAATAGCCTCTTGGAGATTGTTTTTGCTCATTGATTAATTGGGAAAATAAATGAATTGTTTGTACTCTTAATTCAAATAGGTTTAAATATGCTTTAAGGCAAAGTGAATATGTCTTGAATATAACAAGAAGTAATGAGACTTTTCATTTAGTTTCTTTGTTGCTTGATTGGAATTTAGTAAATGAATTTGTAGCTTAAAATTAAGTATGGTTATTAAGTTGCTCTCAGTCAAATATTGTTATGATGCTTAACATATATATAACATATATGTTAAGCATCATAACAATATTTTTATGTTTCATTAAATTGTTAAAAGCTTATATTATTCAAAACACGCACTATAAGCTATAAAAAAAATATATGTTTATTATTACCCCACTCCCCAAAATTTTATTACACAACTCGAATATCGTTCGAGTAATCCCGCCGAAATATCACTGTCAAAACACACATTCGATCTGTTGATCCGCTTCCCCTTTTGGGCCACCTGTCAGTGGATTCGATTGAACCCATTGAGCTCGGTGCGGTGCCATTAAATGTATAGTGTGTACAGAGAAATATATATCCATAACCATTAACCATTAACCAGAGCCCACATGAGCGCAGACGAATGTCAAGATTAAGCTTCGGGGGGCAGTTATGCGGCTATGCGCTCATAAATATCCGTTAATTAACTGACAATAATTATAACAAGTGCAAAAGAGCGGAGGGAAAGGTGTGCGAAAATATTAAATCCAATTAAAGAGCCATAAAACACGGCCTGCCACGCCCCCACAAAAGCCGCTTTTCGTAGTCGAGAAGGCCGCTCTGCAATGATGTGGCCAAAAAACCAGTTAACCAGTTATCTTGACCCATTGTTCGCCGGAAGGCCTCCGGTGCCCGGCCTCTGCTCAGTTCATGTTCAATTTGCAACAATCGATCTCTGTCTTTATTAACCGCCAAACATTAACAAGAAGCAATAACAAAAGAAGAGATTTTTTAGAAACCCCAGTGGGTTCCGAATCCGTCGAAGCTCATGTGCGACACGCTCTCGGCGGGCGAGTAGTGGACCGTCTGGGAGCTACCATAGCTGGACACACCCAAGGCGGGGGCGTTGTGGGTGTAGGTGGTGGCAGCCGGGCCATGGTTCACATTGGTGGTGGCCAGGGGAGCGGCGTAAGACACCGTCTTGGCCAGAACTGGAGCAGGAGCAGCATAAACTGGAGCAGGAGCGGAGTACACAGCCTTGGTCACCACAGGAGCGGGAGCAGAGTACACGGTCTTGGCCAGAACTGGAGCAGGAGCAGCGTAAACTGGAGCAGGTGCAGAGTACACAGTCTTGGCCAGAACAGGAGCAGGAGCAGCATAGACAGCCTTGGTCACCACGGGAGCGGGAGCAGCATACACAGTCTTGGCCAGAACCGGAGCAGGAGCGGAGTACACAGTCTTGGCCACCACGGGAGCGTGAGCAGCATAAACTGGAGCAGGAGCAGCATAGACAGCCTTCTCAACAACTGGAGCCGGAGCATGGACCAAAGTCTTGGCCACGATGGGAGTGGCCTGAGTGTACAGTGGAGCCGCATACGTGGTCTTGGCAATGGCCGGAGTATAGACATTGTTCTGGATCCTGGTATCACTCTTTCGCACACTCGAGTACGGGGTATCCACCGCCTTGGAGTAGCTGGAAACGGTGCCGGCAAAGGACCTCACCACATCATGTTGGGTGGAGGCAACGGCATCCACCGAGGGATTGGCAATGGCCACATGGCTGGCCAGGAGACCGGCGTTGGCACAGGCCAGGAGGGCGCACAGAGGGATGAGGTAACGGAAGGCCATGGTTGGAGCACTCGAACTGGATGACTGGCAATCGGTGGAGTGGAAGAGTGAAGCTGAAGGCAGACTGCTGGCTGGGCTGCGACTGATGCTGATTTGGCCAAAATGTGCCGCCTTTTATACGCATCGGACGCGTGCCAGTTATGTGTAGACTTTGCTGATTTTTGTTTAATTTTTTTTGGGCAGATTTAGTTGTCTATTTTTATTGTCGAAATTTTTTTTGTTGGTAATTGAACTGCCCACAATGCGATGGCAGTTCAGTTCACCTGCGCAACCGCTTGAAAGCCAATTTGCTGGCATAAATTAAGCGCGGTAATTAGGTTTTCGGCGGAGGGCAAAGGCTTCAGGGCCCCCAGTGTAAAATTAATAACAATTTGCCAAAAAACCAAGCAGAAAACAAAAATCGCAACAGCCAAAAAAATAGCGAAGAACTCGTGGCTGTAAGAAGCTTCCCAAGTTGGCAACACAATTCAATTTGGAGCAGCGTCAACTTTGGTAATTTCAATAAATATTCATCATGCGCCCCGTGAGCAGCCGAGCAGGGAAATTCATTTTCCCAACTTGCCCCCAAAACATAACAGAAAAAAGAAGAAAACTCAACGGGAGTGGAAAGTCAGCAAAGTGCAAAACAAGACGAAACATTAGATGCTCTCTTTCTTAATTTACTGCCAAAGTTTTTTGGGTGTGACCCAGTGCAAATATTTATGTTGGTGTCAATGTGTTGAGTGATGATTACAAAGGTGGAGGTTAAACGAGGATTATTGTATGTCTTTTATTTATACAAATGACTGTCATAAAATATAAAAAGTAAGCAGAGTGAATACCAGTAATTGCTTTATTATTTGTATCTTAAAGTAAACATAAAGAAATCATTAGTAACTTATGTTTAAAAATTAATTCAGACAATCACTGATGTAGTTTCAATCTTTGAATAATAAGGCCTGCCAAGAACTCTCCAACTTCTGACTATCTTTAATTCCAGCTTCAAATCTCCCTTCTCGCATTGCACAACAACTTTTTAAGACAAAATGCAAACAAAAATCATAAACAACTGACTGCCACCACCTCACAGAGAAAATAAAGAAAAGAAAAACAACCAACACCCCTGATGATACAAAAAAAAAGTTGACAGAAACAGGGTACATACCCTTATCGAGGGGTTCTTCCTGTATTTTTTTGGGGGATGGGCCATATTTGCTGCTTGAGTAGAACTCAATTTAATGGAAAAATACGCAGGGCAAATAAAAGTTTTTCTTCGCTGCTCTGGAAAATTTATGAGCTGCTGATAGTATTCAAAATAATTCACTTTCCTGCGATACACTGGGTGTGGGGGTACTTGAGGTGGTGGCCTCCAATCGAGTTGCTGAAACGCGGATGGAGATGAAAAAGAGCTCAGTCACTTGGCGGCAACCCAATGAACCAGTTTTGGGGCTTAGGCCTAAGTCAATCTGTCACACAGATATACACGCACTCGAGAGTCTCGCCCATTTGGCCGTGAAATTTGGCAAGACATTATTTCGGTATTTTGGCTATAAAAACTGTGAATTCGAAAGAGTTTGGCATCAGTAGCCACTGCAGCTTACTATCAACATCAGTTTCAGTATCTCTTTTCCTTCCTTTGGAATTAATAAACACTAGCAAGAAATGGCTTTCAAGTACGTCCTGTTGTCCTTCTGCGCCCTGGTGAGCGTGGCCAGTGCCGGTTTCCTGGCTCCAGCTGCCACTTATTCTGCTGCCATTCCCGTGGTGGCCAAGGTGGCTCAGCCGCATTATGATGCCGTCGGCACCACCCAGCAGAATGTGGTGCGCTCCTTTGGTGGCACCGTGTCCACCTACTCCAAGAATGTGGTCACCCCGTACTCCAGTGTCAGCAAGGTTGACTCCCGCATCACCAACAATGTGTACACCCCCAAGACCGTCTACTCTGCACCCGCTCCCGTGATCACCAAGTCCTTCTATGCCGCTGCTCCAGCTCCAGTGGTTGCCAAGACTGTTTATGCTGCTCCAGCTCCCGTGGTGGCCAAGACTGTCTACTCCGCTCCTGCTCCAGTTTACGCTGCTCCTGCTCCAGTTCTGGCTAAGACCGTGTACTCTGCTCCCGCTCCCGTGGTCACCAAGGCTGTGTACTCCGCTCCCGCTCCGGTTTACTCCGCTCCCGCTCCAGTGTACTCCGCACCCGTGGTTGCCGCCGCTCCTGCCGCCTTTGTGAAGTACTCTCCCGCCGCCGTGGTGGCTCATGCCAGCTTCGATGGATTCGGTTCCCACTGGGGATACTAAAAGGGTGTAACATCCCGAGCTTTGTTGACGCTTTGTTGATTTGTTCGTACGAATTAAAGACAGTTTTGCATGAAACACGAACTCGCTCTTTAGCTAATTATTATTTGCTGTAATTAAAAGGGCGGAATTTGGGGTGGGGGGAAGATAATATGCAGTTGGTGGCTGACATTCATATTCCACTAATTACATTTTCAGAATTCCAAAGAGAAGTATAAATATTATGGAATATGTAAACTATTCCTGGAAGATAGTTTTATTTTTATAAAATATAGCTACAGTTGATTGTGTCCTTCTGGGAGATCATTTTGAATAGGAATCTTGGACAATCCTTTCAATTTGGAAAATAAAACTCCAATTAACTAATAAACTAATATTTAATTGTATTTATCATCATCCAGCTGATAACCTGTGATAGCATTCCCATAAGTAATCACCTACAAAGGCGTTTACAATTTAAAGTAACACTTTCACCCCTCTTTTCCGTTCCCATTTTCATTTGTCTAGCGTTTAATGGGGCGTATGTGTGCAAAGGAAAATTTCATGCCCAGTCCGACTTTCGAATCCCTAGAAATCCTGACCCCTTTCCACATCCCCCACAGCAGTTGAAACTCCTTTATTTTTTTTTGCGAGGGCGCAAATATTTAGTGGAAAACTTTCTGTTTGTCTTTGTCGGTGCTACAAAAAAAAAACTAAAAAATTGTTGGCCAAAGTTTAATGAGCCACATGACCCTTTGGTCGCTGCCTTTCTATCTCCATAAACTTTGCGATGGGTTCTCAGCAGCTTGACCAAACTGCGGTTGTTGTTGCTATTGTTGGTCTTGCCGTTATGGCGGCTAAAAAGTTGGCACAACAACACCCAAACCCACACACACACCGAGCACATAAAAAAAGCATTAACGATGTGGGCCGAAGCAAACTATTTAGCCATAAAGTTGGTCCTTCCGTTGGACAATTTTGTATGCATATTTTATGGATTTTCAAATGCTGCAAAATTGTTTTCCACGACCAGAATTTAATGTTGACAACAATAAAATTTACAGGGCGGCACGGAGCACATAAAACGAGGAGGAGGAGGAGGTGGAAACCAAAGCTCGGGAAGGGGGCGGTGGTGAGATGTCCTTGAATATTTTCTGCTTAGCTGCATTTGCATATTGTTGCGATTGTCGAGGGCTCCGTGTCCGGATTGGGGTCCGATTTCGATTCAGTGTCCCGTGTCCCGTGTCCTGGCATTTGCAATACTTTTTCAATCGCCGGACATGCTTTGGTGATTCCTTTATTGGCTCATCCATATGCATGCCAACTCGGTATCCCGGACATCGGATGCGGGACTCAAGTGTTTATCGTTATTGATTGCAGTCCGTGAAATATGACGAGAGCCAGCATCCAATTTGTCTGTCGTCTTGCCAAACTCCAAAGCCAATACCCATTCCCATTGGGCGAACATCGAATCTGGATTTCAATCTGCTGCTTGAGTCCCATCCCAAAAAAGTTAAGGATTTCCCCACGAAATCCTTGGAGGGCTTCAAGACGGAGATTCTCTTCGGACAGCCGGATGCAGCCAGGTCCATCTGCGCATCGGGGTACCGGTTCGGTTCAGGAAAATCATATATATGACCAGAGCTATAAGCATGATGATCTGAAAGGACACTGGGACTTACACCTACTCTTTGAATAACATTTGTAGGCTTACCTTGCAAATGAGGGAGACAACCACAGTTACGGTGAGTTTAATGGGTTGTACGGAGATAGTTGAGCAGCCTGTGGTGTAAAGATCCTCGCTCTTTCCACTGCTATCCTTGTAGCAAGAGTTGGGTGTCGAGCCACCCATCACTACATAATCCCCGGGGCCCAAAACGCCGCAGCATTTGTACTGAAAAAAATTATATGATTTAGTATAGAATTACGTTAAATTTCAAGCGAAAATATCCCTACTTTAACTTCGAAGAACGTCAGACTGTTTTTGTATTTCCACATTCGCGTTACATCACCAATGGCTTGATATTCTTGTGTTAAAACCAAAGACAACATCAATTCCAGCCAGATGGTAAGGAAGAGTATAGTCACATACTAAAGAAGATGATTTAATGATTAACTTCCCTTAAGACAAATATATACAAACAATTTTATTATATTATGTTAAAATTATTTGCTTCAAAGTAAACTTTACTAAATACCCTCAAATCACTTACAATTCGAATACCGCGGGCCAACCGGAAGACCACCAACGGAATGGTCACGATCAGAAGTAAAAAAGTGAGACACTGAACGCCAATTGTCACAATCATATAGTCGGCCATAAAGCAATGCCAGCAATCCCTGTGTATCTCCAATATGGTGTAATAGGTACGGGTGTTCCAGGCAGTTAAAGACTGTGGGAAAACTTCTTGCACCTTTTTTATTTATTTATTTCTAAATGTATCTTACGATATTCACCACCCACAAAACGTAGATCACAACACAAGAGCACAGCAGAATCCTTCTGTCGCAACTGGATTGGTCATTTCCCCTTTCCATCGTCGCTGCCTGAAAAGTAATAATAATATTCAATAATTATGGTTAGGCTGTGCCATAAAAAATATAATGTTTATCGAATGATTTAATGACACATCAATCTAAGCGGTGCTGATTGTAAATAAGCTATAATTACATATAATTAAATCATGCCTCCTCTTAAACATTGATGTATTGCTCACTCTCTCGCTCTTTCTCTAGCTAGCATTAAATTCTGTGCCTCTCGCCCTTTCTCCCTCTCCCGGTGCATCTCCCGTGTAAACATTGCTATTGCTCCCTCTTTCCCTCTCTGACATACTCACCATATATCGCTCTCGCTCTGCTCTCCCCCAGCGACTATAAATAGAGGCACGATCCTCGCTCACGGATTCAGTGTGTCGGCGGCTACCTTACTGTGCGGATCAATAGTGAAAGTGATTATTCTAATATTATCAGACCATCGGAACCCATCTGGAGGCGGCTTCCCTATTGTTCGGATCTGTAGTTACAGTGATTATTCTAATATTTATTAACTGATCATCGGAACCCACATGGACAAATTGGAAGATTATCTCTTCATCGAAACTGTGATATATTGATATATGTGACCTGTACTTCGGTAAGTCCCGGCCAAGGCTTTTATATGCTATATTTGCTATATATTCTATATATTCTATATATTCTATATATTCTATATATTCTATATTTCTATATATTCTATATATTCTATATATTCTATATATTCTATATATTCTATATATTCTATATATTCTATATATTCTATATATTCTATATATTCTATATATTCTATATATTCTATATATTCTATATATTCTATATATTCTATATATTCTATATATTCTATATATTCTATATATTCTATATATTCTATATATTCTATATATTCTATATATTCTATATATTCTATATATTCTATATATTCTATATATTCTATATATTCTATATATTCTATATATTCTATATATTCTATATCTATATATATAAAAATGCTCTGTTCGTGTCTACATCCTTCATAGACTTGAAAAGTTCTGAACCGTTTAAGCCCAAATTTTTACACAACATGCGTTGAGGTTCCAGCTCGGTTATTGACTACTTTTTATGTTGATAGTTTATCTGCGGTTGCAAATATATCAATTTTTTTAGCGTTTCCCCGTGCCCCTACTGCTGCGCCCTCTACAGGCAGCCAGCTGAATCAAAGCATTTTCTGTCAAACATTCAAAACATATTGAAAGAAGAAAGTTGAAAAGTTCTGAACCGTTTAAGCCCAAATTTTTAGACAACATGCGTTGAGGTTCCAGCTCGGTTATTGTCTACTTTTAATGTTAATAGCTTATCTGCATTTGCGAATATATCACTTTTTTCGCGTTTCCCCGTGCCCCTACTTCTGCGCCCTCTACAGGCAGCCAGCTGAATCAAAGCATTTAATGTCAAACATTCAAAAAAATTGAAATATGGAATTGGAGAAAAAAATTTTATTTTTTTGTTCAGGTTCAGTAAGTAAGTAAGTAACGAGGAATCAGCAGAAAGACGAGCAGATAGGCTTGAGAGAAAACGATTGAGAGTTAGGCACTCGCGTTCTGCAGCAATCGATTTGATTCACTCTCAAAATAATGAACGCGACGGGGCAAGGGTAGCTGAAGCGCGTTTACAGCTTGCAGAAGATCAAAACCTGCAATACAATCGTCTTGCATTCAGATATAATCCAACTATTGATTACAGCTCGAATCGAATGTCGTTATTGGACGAATGCATCAGGTCTGCATATACCGTCAGGCTCTCAAATTCAAAAACGAACCAAAAGGATTGTGTTGCGCTTCCGGGAAAGTGGAATTGCCTCAACTTGAAGCACCACCAGAGCCTCTGCACTCTCTATTCGCTGGATCTACTGCAGAATCGAAGCATTTCCTGTCGAACATTCGGAAATACAACTCTTTCAAATGACGTCATTTGGTGCGGAAATTATAACTGCACAATTCATGCCAACTTTTAAAATCAAAGGACAAATCTATCATAAAGCCGGTTCCCTGCTTCCGTTCCCAGACAGCGAACACAAATTTCTTCTTCTTCGTGATGACGGAAATGAAGTAGATGCACGTTATGGAATCAATACCTAAATACGCTGAAGAGGCACATTATTTCGCAGCTACAGAAGCTTTTTCACGGACGGAACAATTTGGTGCGTTTATTCAAAACAGCAATCGATATGATGCCTTCGGATACCCATAAAATTGTCATTCATGCAGACAAAACGCCTGCTGGAGAACATATCAGGAGATATAATGCTCCAAATATAGACGAAGTGGCAATTGTCATAGTCGGGGATCAGTTTCAACCTCGAGATATTGTTCTCCATCGACGAAACGATCGATTGGTAAACGTCGCAGAAACTCACCGTTGTTACGATGCTTTGCAGTATCCACTAATCTTCTGAGATGGTGCCGATGGATACCATTTCAATGTGAAGATGGTAGATCCAGTCAATAGTGTAGAAACGAATAAAAAGTGCAGCGCGATGAACTTTTACTCATACAGGTTAATGGTTCGGAGGACCGATTGCAATCATATATTGAAATGTCGTCAGTTGTTTCATCAGTACATTGTCGATATGTATGCAAAAATTGAAACAGAACGTTTGCTGTTCCTCCGATTGAATCAGACGAAACTTCGGTCCGATGAATATATACATTTGCGGGATGCTGTGATGAATGACCGTAATACAACCAACGTTGGAAAGCTCACGATTTTGCCATCCTCATACATAGGTAGTCCACGCCACATGCAGGAATATGCTCAAGATGCCATGGCATATGTTCGTTGCCACGGCCGTCCAGACTTATTTATCACCTTCACATGCAATCCAGCTTGGGACGAGATAGTACAGCTGTTATTTCCTGGACAATCGTATAGGGATAGGCATGACATCACAGCCCGTGTTTTCAGACAAAAGCTCAAGTCACTGATGGATTTCATTGTGAAACATGGAGTTTTTGGATCTGTGCGGTGCTGGATGTATTCAGTAGAATGGCAGAAGAGAGGATTGCCGCATGCGCACATACTGATTTGGCTGTATGATTTTTATCAAAATTACTCCAGATGAAATCGACGATGTTATATGCGCTGAGATTCCACGGGCCGAGGTTGATACGGATTTACATGAAGTTGTCATCAAGAACATGATCCATGGCCCAATTGGTACCCTCAACCCATGTTCACCATGCATGGTAGACGGGAAGTATTCCAAGCGATATCGTCGAGCATTTACAGCCAACACCGTAACAGGGGTCGATGGATATCCTCTGTATGGGAGACGGTCAACTGAAGATGGAGGGACTTCGGCAAATTTAAACATGAGAATTGGTGATATTGAGGTAGACAATCGTTGGGTGGTTCCATACTCACCACTATTGTCAAAATCATACAAAGCGCACATCAACGTAGAATATTGCAATTCCGTGAAATCGATTAAATATATCTGCAAGTACGTGAATAAAGGCAGTGATATGGCAGTTTTTGGTGTTCAGGCAGAAAATGGTGACAACAATGCAGTACGAGTTGTCGATGAAATATCTCAATACCAGGCTGGAAGATACATAAGCAGCAACGATGCTGCATGGAGAATTTTTTCGTTCCCCATTCATGAACGCTATCCAGATTTAGTTCACTTGGCAGTCCATTTGGAGAATGGTCAACGTGTCTATTTCACAGAAAGAAATGTGCAAGAAAGAGTCCTGAATCCGCCAGCGACAACTCTGACTGCCTTCTTCACCTTATGCCAGAAAGATGATTTTGCAGAAACATTGATGTATTCAGAAGTGCCCTCTTAACCACAATATGCCACAGAGCAACGTGGCAGGGTACAGCTAGTATTCTATATATTCTATATATTCTATATATTCTATATATTCTATATATTCTATATATTCTATATATTCTATATATTCTATATATTCTATATATTCTATATATTCTATATATTCTATATATTCTATATATTCTATATATTCTATATATTCTATATATTCTATATATTCTATATATTCTATATATTCTATATATTCTATATATTCTATATATTCTATATATTCTATATATTCTATATATTCTATATATTCTATATATTCTATATATTCTATATATTCTATATATTCTATATATTCTATATATTCTATATATTCTATATATTCTATATATTCTATATATTCTATATATTCTATATATTCTATATATTCTATATATTCTATATATTCTATATTTTATATTCTATATATTCTATATATTCTATATATTCTATATATTCTATATATTCTATATTCTATATTCTATATATTCTATATATTCTATATATTCTATATATTCTATATATTCTATATATTCTATATATTCTATATATTCTATATATTCTATATATTCTATATATTCTATATATTCTATATATTCTATATATTCTATATATTCTATATATTCTATATATTCTATATATTCTATATATTCTATATATTCTATATATTCTATATATTCTATATATTCTATATATTCTATATATTCTATATATTCTATATATTCTATATATTCTATATATTCTATATATTCTATATATTCTATATATTCTATATATATATTCTATATATTCTATATATTCTATATATTCTATATTCTATATATTCTATATATTCTATATATTCTATATATCAATACATTCTATATATTCTATATATTTTATATATTTTATATATTCTATATATTCTATATATTCTATATATTCTATATATTCTATATATTCTATATATTCTATATATTCTATATATTCTATATATTTTATATATTCTATATATTCTATATATTCTATATATTCTATATATTCTATATATTCTATATATTCTATATATTCTATATATTCTATATATTCTATATATTCTATATATTCTATATATTCTATATATTCTATATATTCTATATATTCTATGTATTCAATATATTCTATGTATTCTATATATATTCTATATATATTCTATATATCTTATTTATCCTACATAAAGCGGCCATATATATATATCAATGTAAATCACCGAAAACTTTCCATTTCCCTGTTACATTGCGTAT